CCAGCTGTGGGTGCTCTTACAAGTGGGCTGCTGAGCCACAGGGGACAGGAGTTCACAGCTCTCTCTGGCCTGGTGCTGTCCTGTGCTCACATTTCCTTCCACAACCGCCATCCCTTAGTCTCAGTTTTCCCATCCAGACAATGGAGGCAGCCACATTTCTTGTGCAGCATTGCTGTCAAAATGAATTAAGAGGTCCAAAGAGTACTTTGAAATGCAGATATTATGCTCACTGGTTTTAATGCCTCCAAAGCGGTCTCCAGATATCTCTAAATCCTCAGGATATCCCTGATCAATTCCTGTTTTACAGATGAGGAAGCCAAGCAGAGGGACGGATGCTTTAGTCCATCTCTTTTATGTCGGGTTCTGAGGGTCCCCCTGACCTTGCCGTGGCTCAGGTTCCCAGTTGTTGTCCCACAGTGTCCAATCCCCATCCAAAGCCACGTTTTGCTGATGACACAGAACAAGCACCATAGATGCAGAGCCTTCACACCTGGTTACTAACCCCCTATAAAGCTATTTCCTTTGAGAGGTCAATGCCCAGGCTTGAGCTCCCACTCCCTCCACCTGGTGTGACTCACATATTTATGGCATCCACTGTGCCCTGCAGGACACCCCTCCCAGAAAGCTCGGGCACTGTGGGGCTGAGCTGTATTCTCCTTGCCTTTGCAGGTGTACTGGGAAGGAGCAGGACACGGGAGCTTCTAGTCCCCAGGCCTGTGATCAAATTATCTCTCCCTCTGTCACACATCCTAATCATCACAGCTGGCAGTCATGCCAACAATATTAACGCTGCTGAGTAGCTTTCAGTTTTGCAATTAGCAGGGTTTTCTGCTTCCCTCAAATAAAAAATAGGCTTGTACTTCTTAACACTGCATGAACGATACAGATACATTCAAGGCCCGTGTTAGTGCCTTGTTGAGATGAACCGACATTAGAAGTGCTGGAGAGATTTTAAATCTTTTGGAGATTAAAACGGTTACAAAGCTTATTATTTCTAAACGTGTTTATCCTGCCTCTCTTTTTTGTTTGCAAAATTAGGTAAAGCACAGTTTAAATAAACAACTATTGTACTATTAAACATTGATTAAAGAAAAGGATTCCATTTAAATTATTAAATGGTAAGATAAAAAGCATCCCTTCTCTTTTGTACGCTACTTTATTCAGAAGTCAAACTTCTGTAGTCTCACTGAATGCTAATGAGCAGCATAATAATGCACAAGGGCAAGAGGGGGCTGAGTAATTAAAAACAGAGGCCAGAAATCAAAGGGCTTGAAATACACTTACCAAAATAATTCAATTATACATTAGAAACCTGGGATAATCAAGACACATCCCACAGTTTCATTCATCATTATGCCCCAATTTAATATCTCTACTGGTTTGCTGAACACAGGAAGCAGCAACTGGGACTTTCATGTGTGAGGCCTCAGATGAAGAGACAAAGACAACATGCACTTAGGTCCCATCCTCATCACTCTGCACCTTGAAAATGGCTTCACTTGACTGAGTATATTCTCAATTATCTGAGTTAGGGAAATATTTTTGGTCACCAGCTATTTCTGTACTTGTTGAATATTCCTATTTTCTCTGGGTTTGCAATTAATTAATACAAATCTCCACACCCACCGTTTTATCTTCCCTATAAGTCCACCTCCCACCTCTCTCCTTGGCTTCACCTTTTCCTGTGGCTTCAGGCTTTCCTGGTGGTCCACAAAAACCTCTGCCAAGCAAAGCAGTGGGCAGGTTTGTTCAGCAAACCATGTATTTAGCTGGGATGGCATCGTGGGACTCTGAGGTTTCCACGCAACACAAGCTGGGTCAAAAAATCCTGATGTAGCTTTGCAATGTCATCACTTTTATGAGCCAAGGAGTCCCAGAACAGCTTCTAGTCTCCAGGATAGCAAAGGGGACTGTAACATTTTTAGGAAATTCCAGTGGCATGTTATAAAACAAGGAAAAAAGAAAGTTTGATCTCGTTCAGTGACTTTGGAGATCGACAGAGGATTTATGTTATTTTGCCTTGATGCAATAAGCAATGATCAAACTTAGTCCCATTGCACTGGCAACAGCTTAATGGAGGGACCTGTAAGTGATGCATTGTCAAGAACCATGGAAAAATCAGAAGAACTGAACAGGAGGTTCCAGCTGACAAAGGAGAGTACTGTGTTCAAAAAGTTTGCAGATGCACAAATTGTTACCTCAGTTCTGGTACATAATTAAGGCAAAAACAGGGGGAAAATGTTGGAAACAACCCATTTCAGAAAAAAAAACCAAACAAAACAAAACAAAACAGAAATCTCAGCAAACCCAAGACTCAGTTTTCCTCAGCTTCCTGAGGAATGAGTCTCATTGTCTTATTATAATTTTTAAAGATTTAAGCACAGAGACTACTAGTTGTCTCTAATGAGCAATGAAGTCAAACTAAACACTGCTGTGCTCCACGAGGTGAGAGGGGACCATAGGCCAGCACAGGTCACAATATTAAATGGTGACAAAGGGAAACAAGATTCTCAGGTCAGGTTTTCCAAAACTAGGGGTCTTAATTAAAACAAAGGTTATGACTTCAGCAGTTGGGCGCTCTTTAGCACAGTCCCAGCTATTACTGAGCTTTGCTGCATCTTCCACTCAGAACAAAACAAAGGGCTGCACAGGAAGAGCGAGGGAGCTTCAGCCAGTGCATGACAGCAGCTAATGTGGATATCTCCAACTTTTCCCAGGCCTATCAGCCACATCTTCCTCAATCAGAAATAAAGCTCTTTTTGAGATGATTTGGCTTCCCCTCCCCCCAAAAAAAAACCAAAACCAAAAACAAACAAACAAAAAAACCCAAACAAACAAAAAACCAAAAAAAACCAAAAAACAAACAAACAAACAAAAAAAACCCCAAAAACACATTCCCTTGTTAAAAGGATGATCATTAAAACAAGCAAATCAGCCCATAATGTGAGTGGAGCAGTGTTTGCCAAAGGAGGAGAGGGAAATGTGCAAGTTAAGACAGATATAATTTCAACATACAGTGAGTTAGGAGCTCATTTTTTCCAATTTTTTCCCATTTTCCCAATGATGAATTCATTTTTAGAAGAGAAGACACTAACCTGCACATTTCTTGATTTTGCAGAGGGAGTGACTGAAAGGGGGGAGCTGTGCATGGGGGCAGAGCCTGAGCTACACCGGAGACCCACTGCTCAATATTCATTTCTCAAGTTTGTGGTTGAAATACTCTAATAGATATCTTAGTGACATCCTCTTCCGAGAAACAGTCCAGGGCAGTAATTCTGACAGGACAAGTCAGCTGTAATGAATCTTTTTCCTCAGCGCAGATGGGGCCTCGCTTTACTCACATGCATGGCTCCTTCCACTTCCTAAGACTACATGGAGACAAGAGAAAGTAGCTCTGGCCTCTTATCTTACCTGCCTTAAACAATATAGTGGAAATCAATACATGAACTACATTTTCTTTAAATATGCAATTACATGGAATAGATTACAGAAGTGACAAAACCCAGAACAACTCCACAAACACAGAGCTGGGCTCTGATTTCTATCAGTACAAGATGAAAGTTGTGTAGTTGCTCATTTACAGCTCAAAGCTGCGTTATTTTCCCTAACTCAGGCTATATTGGTAGTCATCTGAACTCTGTAAAGCAGAAATATCAAGCCATCTTGATATTCCTTCCCCAGTAAATAACGATTTACAAAGGAGGGGAGGAAATCTCCCTTCCCCTCCCTCTTTCAATTCATTAAGTTCAACTGTGATAACCAGTGAGGCATACAGGAAAGGGTTAGGTATCTCGGCCTCTGAATATTTAATTCAGGACTAAATGTAATGCACAGCATCCTCACTCCCTTGGGAGTTCAGCAGCCAATATGCCAATGAATATATCCTGACAATAGTGATTTTTTTCTGCACTTTGGAGGCATGAGTGACATTTGCTCACCACATATGTTGCATCGGATGCTGAGGTCTACACTTGTGAGAAATTAATCAGAATCCATCTGTTTCCTTCTCATCCTGGACAATTTCATTACAACTTAACCAAAGATTATAGGATTCCCATGTCTGTGTCCCCAGCCCCCAGCCCAGTCTTGGTGTTTCCACACTGAACGATTAAAGCTGCTTAGTTTAAGTAAGGTCAGAATCAATCTTCCTTCCTGCAGGGAAAAGCATAATGCTCATGAGCAGGGTCCAAAATCTGCTCTAAATTACATGTAGGTAAATCCAGAATATCCCTACTGAACCATGGGGGTTTAGATTTATCATGGAGAAGGATGTGGACCTTGATTTTTCAATGCATGTTTCTGGTGGCTGGTTTTGAACGACTTCAGGCTCAAAATGACATAAAGTCAATCACTGCAGGTCCTCTGTTATGTTTTCATTTACCTGCCCAGGTGGTGATCAGAGGGATGACTCAGCCCTTCTGTGGGGCTGGGAGATACTGTACCACTGTTGGGAAAAGTGCTCTGTCTTAAAATACTCCCTGTACTTAAATAGACAAGTTCCTTGCTTACTTCTTATTTACCAGTACTTCCTTCATTCAGTGTAATAGCAAGGGAGAACTGGACGTAAAAATTGCTTGGACTCTGGTTTACCATGCCAAATTTTGCACAATGATGGATGAATATCTTAAAAAGTGGGGTTTTCTGAGAGTTCTTTGGATAAGGCACAAATGGCACAGAAAGCTTCAAAAGCATAGACATCCATGGGAATCTGTTTCCCGATTGCTCGGTGACAGTTGCAGCCAAGTCTGTAAATGTGAGGTTTCTTGAGCGACAGAAAAGCCAAAACCATGAACCCAAAAGTGAGGTTTTCGTTACAGAAACCACGGACACAGAGATGTGGACTGGGATGTCTGGGAAAGCCCAGTAAAGAGGGAAATGAACTCCAGTGATAAGGAGCAGCTGTAGCACCCGGGGTCTACATGTCCGGGAGGCAAAACCTGATACAGGGGATCCAGACTGCACACAGGGATGGCAGGGCCCAAAAACTTTCTGCCACTTACCTATGAGTGCTTTGGCTGCTCAGCCTGTGTACTTTGAGGGTACTTGGAGACACGAGGTTTTCCACCAGCTTCAGCAGTTCCTCCTTGGAACACCTCTTCCAGTCGTGGCTGGTTCCACAGTGCCACTTGAGGTCCAGATCCTGTGCTGAGAGGTGGTAAAGAGCAGGTGCTGGTCCCTCTGAGCACTGAGCTGCTGGGCAGGAACAGCAGGACCCCAACAGGGTTAATGTGGTTGCCCTAAACTAGGCAGACACCCCCCAGCACTGCAGCTTCGTGGGGACCAACCCCAAAACCTGAGCGTGCTGGCAGAAGGAGAGGAAGGAGACAAGCAGGCAAAGCTGTGCAGGGCCGGCCAGAAAAAGCAGCTTTGAAAAAAAGCTTGTGGCAATGAGACCTCGAGCAAAGAAATTCATCCAGCTGTGGGGAGGTGGAAGCTGAAGGCAGATGAGATGTGCAAAGCAAAACACCACTCAGCAGCCTGAGATAGGAACCACACGAAGCTCCCTGACCCCGCTCGGAGCCGCGCTGCCTTCCCCACTTCTCACAGCCATTATTCCAGCTGACTTGCAGATACCCGAAAGTTATTTTTGAAATGAAGGTGCATTCAGATTGGGCTGTCACAGCCTGTCTTTTCAATCAGGAGCTACTTGATCAGATGCTTTTTTTGCTGTAACATAATCACATGATACCAAGGCTTTAAACAGGACCTAGATTCCAGCTCCAGTGATGGATACTTCCTTGCCAGAAAGATATCAACACATTGGGAGATAGCTATAAAAGAAAAGAGAGATCTTGCATAAATTATCTTATGCTATTTATAGACATGGATAGCAGTCTATCCATGGGACCATCTGCTAATCTATGTCCCATGGCAATTAAAGTCAACATTTCACCATATCTTCTCCATCAAGGGCTGAGATTATGCACTGAACTCTTTTTTTGTGCAACACCAACCTTACATCTGTGCTGCTTAGCATCTCTTTCCAACTTTCCATGCCACTTCCCGTATCCACTCTGTGAGTGCCTGCTACAAGAAAGGAAAAACTCAAATGGATTATTTGTATTAATATGTAGTAAAAGGGCCAGTAGGTGACAAAGGCTGTATTTAATCTGTTGGTTCTCAAGAACTTCTCTGTTTCAATAAAAAGAAAACAGACATTATGCACTAAATTAATGAATTTATATATTTGATACAAAGTGATCTTCATACAGCTTAGTCTTTTCAGTGCTCCTTGTTATAAATAAACCACATAGATTTTTAGAAGTGACTTATGATTTTAGACACTATGTTTTTAATCATCCAACCCAGGATGCTTCCAAAAATTATCCAAAACCTGTGAGAAGACCTCTCACAATCTCATTTTCTTCAAGGAAAGCTGGAAACCTAAAATAAATGGCATCCAAACATTTTGCTTTAGAAAACACATAAAGACAAAACCCAACTGTGCTTAATGTATAGTTTATCCATATTATAGATATAGAGAATTTTCTGAAGTAACTTAAAAGCTCGAGTCCTACTGCCTTGTTCTGCATCTTTTTATACACAACACATTTTTATTACTCCATGTAATTTTAATAATTTATACTGGCACCATCACTTTAGCAATTGCATTCACTACATTCAGCAACAGGAATTACTACAAAAGAAAGAAAATACAGAAGATTCGATTAGCAGGAAGATTTGCAGAAAGGCAACCTTACAACAGGGCTCTTGCTCAGGCAAAAGATATTATTTTACAGAAATAATTACAGAAATACACATTTCATGGACACTAACACATTTGGTTAATTTAAAAAAAAAAAAATGAAGGCTTTCTTGGCTAGTGAGTTGACCAGTTACACAAATAAGAACTCAAGCAATTCTTCACCTCTGTCACAGCTGATACCACAAAAAGCTTCTTTTCTTCCGGCTGTGTTGGGATGTGTGTGTGAGAGAAAGAAATGGAGACGTTAAGCAGTGATACCACCAAACATTATCCCACTGTTGGTCTGAAACTTACTGCAGTCACAAGACAATTAGAAGTTATGTGAGCACAGAGCTTTCCACAATTTATGCTGCCTGAGCTGCTCTGTGTGGGAATGATCACGTCCCAGATCTCCCACTCCCCTCCCTCCGGCTTTCCTTTCCATCAAAGGATACAAAAACTCTGGGAATGAAGAGGCTTCACATCCATGACTGTCTTCCCACAGGTCCAAACTCTCTGCTCAAAACCTAAAGGTTATTATTCAAAGTCCTAGAGGAGAAAAATGGTGTAATGCCTTCCCTCAGCATCTAAAAAGACATAACAGACCATTACTGACTACGGATATAAGATACACAGAGTATACCAGGGCATAGATGTAAGTATTTGTGGAGAGGTTTTAAAGCCATTGTTGTCCATTTTTGCACATTAAAACCCACAAAGAGTTTTATTTAGAGCACTAAATCCTTTCATTTCTCTCTGGCTGGATTTTTGACTATTAAAATATTCATCAGGCACTCCAAGAATCTTGATGCCAAGTATTTATTTTATTTTTTATAACCTTTTAAATAGTTTCTTTAAAATACCTTCAGGTGTACACACTGCTCTTTAAAAAACACTGAAAGTAAGAGTTTATTGTAAAACAGCGAGAAATGAGGCATCAGGCACTGCTGAGACCTCAGTACAACAAAGGGGTGGATTCCACGGAATTCAGTGCTAAGGGGAGACAGAAGGGGCATTTTTTCAAAATTGAAAGTTTCCAATGTGAAAATTCAGGTTTCACATAGGAAGATGTAATTTTCTGTTGCCAAATAGTGGGAGGGGTGGAGGGAAGGCTTCTACAAAAGGGGTATTTACGTCAAAATGTCCCATTTGGATTTCCTTTCAGATGGGCAATATTTTTTGTAAGGCAGGTTGCTGGCACTGAGACAAATCACTATTTTCTGTTTGAAAATTTCCCCCTCTTTTGCCTAACAGGAAACCCCTGGCCCTGAAATGATGCTTGCAGGCAGGGGGCTGACACGGCAGTGGTGCTGCTGCTCTCCCTGCAATCCCAGATCCGTGCCTCCCACTTCCTAACACAGCCAAACGGGGAGCTGCTCCCAGCTCCTGCTCCAGGCAGCCTGGGGTCGTCGGTGTGGAGCAGCCCAGGCTGTGTTTGTCAGAGACAATGACAGAGCTGCCCTTCCCGAGGTGAATATTGACTCTTGTTGCCCAGAAGAGCAGTGGATGCCCCATCCCTTGAAGTTCAAGGCCAGGCTGGAGGGGGCTCTGAGCAACCTGGTCTAGTGGAAGGTGACCCTGCCCATGGCAGGGTGGGTTGGAACAAGATGGAAGAACCCAAACCATTCAGTGCTTCTACGATTCATTCTCTGATTCTATGACTGTCGTGCAGTGATGCACAGGGTGTGCCCCTGCAGCCTGCTGGCCCTGCACACTTGGCACAGGGGCAGGAGGGGTCACGTGCCACGGGGATCTCCTGTCCACAGTGATGGGATCTCCTACCCACAGGGGTGGGATGAAGGGCACAGATGCTGCAGCACCATCAGTGGTAGCAGCTGGGCCTGTAGCTCACAAGCTCATCCCAGCACTGGTTTCCTGGCCAAAAGATCAGCAGCGCCACAGAGGCTCAGCCCACCTTGTCCTGTAGCTTTTGGGATGGTGGCAAATCAGGCATATTCTGCTTGGGAAGATGCCTTGGATGGAGCCTCTGACAGAGACCACAGCCAGGGCTGGCTCAGACGCCTTCACACCCCGTGACGTGCTGCTCCTCACCCTGCAGCCTCCTCAGCTAGAGATGCTGAATGTGATCAAATGCAATTTGGCAGCTGTGAAGCTCAGTTACAAACTGCCTGGGAAGAGATTACCTTCGGCTTCCAGAACATTTCTTTTAATCTGAAGAGAAGCAGACACCTCCCCTCTCCTCCCCATGAAGCCTCCGCTTTATGCATGGAGTCAACCTCATTCTCAACACCACATTTTGAACCATTATGTTCCCCTCTGTACTCCCACATGGGATTTAATTTCTTCCATGTGGGAGAAAAAAATATTTTAACTGTCCTTCTTTCTGTTTCTTCTCACAGAGGAAGGAGTCAAAGGGTGAGATGCAAACCTGAAAAATTATACCACACTTTTACCGACTGCTTCGGTACCTCCTCCAACACCACTGTGTCCACCAGGGCTCCTCAGAGGACATGGGTATGTTGCATCTTCAGGTGATTTCTTACAGAATTTGTGCCATTGCTTCTCTGTCCAAAGGGCTTTCATTCTGCATCTATATAAATATAGAAAGCAGAAGATAATGTTTACCACCTGTATTCTCCAAGGAGCAAGGGATGTGCTCGTACATAGTTATTCCACCTGTCTTGTTTTCTCTCCCAGACACCAAGATTAATGAAAAAAGGCAAGTAAGACTGCATTTGTAGACACTGACTACATGATTACTGAACACAGAGCTTAACACTGAACGTCTGGGTCATTTAAAAGGTGACATGCATTTGTGAGGAAACACATTTAGTTTATTTATGGACAAGAGAGGGACACAGTGGATCCACTACATCATAGGCTCCCCAAGCAAAACGCTCCAGTCAAGGCAGAGTAAGTGAAGATATCCCACAACTGGGGAGGAAGCTTACTCTTTTTCAACAAATTGCTGGTTCTCTGGCATATTAGCTATCATTAATGGATTAAATAACTTTTACTCCAACATGACCTGCTATTTCCACAAACAAGTCTCTTACCTTTACCACATTTATTTCCCACGAACTCTTTGATTTTCATTTAATGTCTACCTAAAAGGCTAAGGACTCAGGCACTCCACTCAGTTGCACTGACATTATCTTTTAATTAGCAGAGGTCACTTAATGCTTTTAGTACAATCAACAGTTGCTTTCTTTCCTTGATCAACTACAAGAGCATCACGGTTAATGCAGACTGATTAAAACCTGAAAATCCTTTAGCATAGAAGTATCTCAGGACAAGTATAATCAAGCTATTGCACATAGATCATTTTCCTTGACAGCTTTGATTGCAGCACCACCAGGAAGAACAATCCAGCACCTGTGGGTAAATGGCTTCTCTTACACTGTGGGTCTCACCAGAGACCTGAAAAAGCCATAGGTGAACTTAATCCCCAGGACCACCTCCAGCTGCATGTGTTTGACATCCATGGAGTGTTTCCAAAACCTTGCCTCAGAAGAGAGAAAACTAAAGTTAGGTCTCACATATGATTGATAAGTGATAAGTAAAGTTCACGCTGGAGAGATTTACACAGCTCCCTGCTTGGCATTGCAGCTGAAAGCACATATAAAAAAATTGGGACCCATCATTTAAAGTCTTGCAAGTATAAATCAGTCTCCTCACACTTAGATGAAGCTGGGATCCTTCCCTAATTTCAGCAAAGACCTATTGGGTGTTTGGTGGGGAGAGATTCGTCTGAAGTGAA